ACGAACAGTTGGATCTTTAGGTGCATATTCAGATTGCTTGATCAACAAGAATAGAAAGCCATGGCGAATCAATAACCCTCAAGAACATATAGCTTCATGAACTCTTGGAAAATATTAAGAATAAACACGACTCGAGAACAGATGGCTTCAGGCACTCTTGGAAAAGATCAAATAGATCAAAGAGTCGAAACACAACTCGGCAGAGAGACAGATCAGAGAGTCAAAACACAACTCAGCAAAGAGATAGATCAGAAAGTCGAAACACGAGTCAACATAGATGACAATTCAGAGAGTCAAAACATGACTCAGCAGAGAAGATAGATCAAAGAGTTGAAACACGACTCCGCGGACAGTCGAAACATGACTCATCAGAAGTTGCATTGACTGCATGAGCAACAGACTCGCCTTGAAAATTGGCGACAATGCTTTAGGGATGAGGAATGGACACAACTAAGATGAATTTGGCTCTAATACCATGTGAAGAGTCTCAAGTTTATCTAAATAGACTCATTATCCATTAAAAATATGAATATATAGAGTTGTCTGGCGACAATGCTTCAGGGACGAGGAATGGACACAACTAAGATGAATTTAGCTCTGATACCATGTGAGAAATCTATCTTTTTACGGATGATGCAAATTGATGAAAAGAGAACTAGGTGGAAGGCAGAGAGTCAAAACACGACTCGGCAAAAGGCAAACAAATCAGAGAGTCGAAAAGGACTCGGTACAGATCTCAGATATGAGGTGCAAGCTCAGATGATGAATGGACACAACAAAGATGAATCTGACTCTGTTACCATGTGAATGATCTCTGCTTACTCTGAACAGATTCAATGTCCATTATTGATATGAATATACAAACTTATCTTTTATAGATAAATTACAGATGACCCTAATAAAAACTAAATCATAGATACCTAAACTCTACACATACTTAATATAAAATAAAAGACACAATATCCGACCCTTCCCATATTTACTGATACTTTCCTTTCACATTACAAATATCCAATATAATAAAATAAACTCAAAATAAATAACAAAATCGGTTCTCATTTGCATGAATAAAACTTCATTTATTGAATAAAAATGATCATATAATACTCTTGGGGACAAGAAAACACAAGATTACAATGCACAAAGTAAACTTCTAGAAGATTACCTCAGCAGAACGTTGCACACCCCAATTCGGGTCTCCTCCTTTGATGGCACGCATGATCAATGCTATATTTCAGAACTTCAAAGTATAGGAAATCTTTGGCTATCAACACCTTAATTAAATCAGAGAGTAATAATAGAACAATAATCCAGGGCTATACCTCAATTTCTAGTATATGGGGTGTGCCCTTTTTTAACTTTTAGGGTTTTGGGGC